ACCATAAGGGGGCGAGGGGCAACAGAACCCAGGCTGAAGATCAGGCTGAACTGAGCTGAACCGGGCTACTCTGAGCTGCGCTGAAATCTGCTGCAGTGCGGGCTAGATAGGCTGACAAACCAGGCTGATCCGCGTGGCTCTGAGCTGCGCTGACCTCCCTACCTACTCGGAGGGCGACCGTAAACAGGCTGACCACCAGGCTGAACTAGGTTGCTCTGAGCTGCGCTGAACTCTGCTGCGCAGCTGAAGTATTCTGGGATTTTCTGAATGCTCTCCAGTCCGGGTTTTACACCGTTCCGCAGCTGAAGTATTTTATGAGGTTCGGTCCGAGCTTAGTCAGGCGGCAGGATTTCGGCTAAGGACAGCGGATGGGGTGGGAATGGATCTGCGAAGTCCTGGGCGGGACGCAGTGGGAAGCCGGGGTCAATCTTGGTCCAGTCGTGGAAGATCAACTGATAGTCCCTTATTATTTCAGCCCGGGATTCCTCTCGGGGTTCCCCTCGTGCTTCTCTCTCCGTCCGGCGACCGGTCCACGTTACTGCCGCCACCCATCCCTCCCTTTCCCCCCCCAGCCAGTCCATGCAGAAGGTAGCAATGATCTGGTTCATGTCTCCCCAGGAGGACGTTTGGTCGAGCTTGTCTTTAGTTTTCTTCCATTGTGCCGCGAGCTCATAATGAACCAGAGTCCGAATTTGATCCATCGCCTCTCCGTCCTCCACCCATGCTCCCTCTAACTCCAAACAACATCTTCGCCACCATATAGTCCATAGTACACTCCGTCTACCCAGATTGAACATGTTCTCCTCAAATGTCTTCCCCCGTATTGGAGGGAAATGTCCCAAAAGTATGGCCCTCCACTCCCATGGCCATATTGTGCCGGGAACTATGTGTTGCCAGATTCTATCCCAAAATCTCCACAGCAGTACCGACGCGGGACATTGGAGGAAAATGTGTTCAATGGTTTCGGCCCGTCTCCCCCCAGGGTAAATTCGGAGACATTGATGGCACCATGGTAGTGCCTTTCCTTGTTGCTCTAGGTGGGTGTGGTCTATCAATCAGTCCTTAGTTGGCAGACACCTGTGTTCTAATTGCCACTGGAGGGCGGAGATCTTGGCGGGTCTTTTGTGGTGCTGAGCAAACCAGCSTATGGGCTTCAGTAGCTGGCGATCCACATTGAGGTGGCGGTACCATCTATCTTCTATACGTTCTCGAAGTCTGCATTTCGGTCTGAGCATTCGGTAGGCCGACTTGGATTTTAAGTTCCGTAATGTCAGTGTTTTTGCCTCCCCTTTCCTGGGARGAGTGTTCATGGTCCACCGCCACTCCTCAGGGKCCMGGGGGAGGTCTTCAATTGGGACCATTGGGTGGTACACCCTCTGGTAACTTCCATCAGTAATGACCCTGATGCGATACACCTCATTCTGCTTTTTCCAGATGAAGGGTTGGTGGCTGCCCCTTAGTCCATCGTCCTTTAGAATGGAGAAGACTTCTACTAATACCTGTGATTGATTAGCTAGGTGCACATACCCTACTTCCCCCTTGTGGCCCGGAAGCCCCACCCAGTCATCTTCTCTTGCACCGGGGCCTTTCCTGAGGGTAATGTACCAGTGGAGAGGGAAGCTGTCAATCAACTCGCTGAGTGCTCTCTCAGTGAASTGRCAKTACCGCAGGGTTGCTCTTATCCTKTCCGTGCTTTTCCAATTTCCTTCCTCCGCATCCCAGAGGTCCCCAACCCTTCGGATCCCGTGTTTCACCCACSCTTTCCATGGGGAATCTGARGCGCATYGTATCYGCCCTCCCGGGTCAGTTATTAATCGGTTGCCGAATAAGGGTTGCCTAAAGATTTCTTCCCACCTCTCCGGCGCGGGTCGGTCGGGGGGCGGGAGCTTCCTCCATGTACGAATGAGGCGTACCCAGTATTTGTCTGTGGGGTCCCCATTCCTATACTTCTTGGGTATCCTCCAGTACCTGTCTTCCAACCATATGCAGGGGTCAATTTCTGGTGGAGATTTTGGGGCGAGGTTTGAAATTTGTGCCAGGGCGAGGGGGACCCATGGCGACGTAGGTGAAAAGATGATGTGTTGGAGCCAGCGAATCGAGAGGGCCTGAAATTGCGTGGCTGGGACTATGATACCCAATCCGCCCCTGTTCTTGGGTTGAATCACCGAGTCCCAAGCTACACGGCTTATGGTATGGGAATTGCTGATGTCGCCCCTCCATAGGAAGGCCGCAAGTTGTTGTTTCAGTACTTTAAGCCCTCCGTTGCTCATAGGCCATAGGACGGCTTTGTACCATAGGGTAGCCAGGACCACATTATTAATGACGAGCGCCCGCCCAAAGATCGATGTTCGTTTGTTGTTCCATTTTTCCAGCTTAATTTGTGCCGGTCCGGTCAGCCATTCATCATTGGTTGCTGGTCTGCCTCTGGCGGTAATTAGTGCCCCCAGGATTCTCAAGGGGTCTTCCGGAGGGAGCCACGTGATGCGTGGGTATTCCGGAGGTTTGCCCCCTTGGTGATGCAGCCACCAGCCCGTGGTCTTTTGTCCCCAGTTGACGGACATGTCTGACAGGCAACAAAACTTGTTCATGAGTTGCTGAATTTCCTTCATATTGGCCTCGGTTGCATCCACTAATATAGTCAGGTCATCAGCAAATAGAGAGCAAATAGGTATCGCCTCCTCGGGAATGTTTGATATCGCGATACGTGTGAGGTCTTTGTTCTGTCGTAGATTAGCGGATAGTGCTTCCATGATTACGAGGAAGAGGTAGGGTGCGATAGGATCCCCTTGTCTTACCGATCGTTGGAGTTCAAAGGGGGGTGCCATGGAGCCGTTGATTTGGACGCAAGTAGTGGCGTTTTTATGGAGGATCTTCACCCAGCGCCGGAAGGAGGGTCCAAAATTCATTCTTTCCAAGCACATATCTAAAAACTCCCAGTCCACGTGGTCGTAGGCTTTTTCGAAGTCTATGAAAATTATCGCCACATTGGCCTTCTTTCGCCGTGCTAATTGGACCACATCATTGACTAACAGGATGTTCTCTTGTATGTTCCTTCCGGACATGAAGCCTGTTTGGGCTGGGTGAATGACCTCTTCTAGGACCGTTGCCATATGGTTTGCCAATGTTTTGACAAGTATTTTGTAAACAACCGTGAGTAGTGTACTAGGCCTGTAGTTCCGGATATTCATTTTATCCCCTTTTTCGTAGAGGAGAGATAGCACTTCTTTTCCGACTGTTTCCCCCATTTCCCCGACTTCCCATACCCTTTGGTAGTATTCCCATAGGTCGGGGTTTAAGTCTGTCCACATGGCTTCCCATAATTCCTTGGGAAAGCCGTCAATCCCTGGGGTTTTATCTTCCTTCATTTGAAGAAGTGCAGACCATATTTCATCTTTTGCTAATTTAGACTCGAGCTTGTTGCGCTATTGGGGAGAGATATGACGGTCCATCGGGAGAAGAAAGTCCTGAATCTGACGGGTCCTGTCTCCCGCTTGTGGGACTTGGGAAGTGTATAGTCGTTTGAAAAAATTCCTGGTGATTAATGTGCAATGCGTTGTATCCGTGGCAATAGTATTGTTATCCTCTGGGTCAAAAAAGGCTTCAATGATAGTCCATCGTGTCCGCGCGGTGGCCATGGAGAAAAAATGGGTGTCCATAGAGGCTTCATAGGAGAGTTTAGCCATTTTCCCTCTGATCCTGATTCCTTGCCATCTAGTCCTATTGCAGAGAACGAAAACATTTCCAAGTTGAGACAATCGAAGAATGAAATAGCTTTACCTCTATACTGATCTATAGCAAGCAACATGCAGCACAATAGATCCATTTAAATCCCACCAGTACCTACCGGTTGTTAAGGCCCGACCCTCAAGCGACTGGTACATTGAGGCCTGCCGAGTCTGAAGCGACCGGTACCAGGTACAAGCCTCGGTTTTTTTCATACGAAAAAAAAAAAAAAAAAAAAAAAGAGAAAACAAGGGCGATTTCTTTCTCAAAAACAAAAACG